GGGCTCTACCTTTACCTTACCTTTTACCTTACACGTGTCACTATTGTCTACCTTTACCCTTTACTTTTACCTCAGGGTAATTACCGGGTTATCTGATACGGATTCTTAAAGGTTTAAAAGTTATTATTACAGCAAGGTTACCGAGTAATTACCCTATTACATCTACCCTAGAGGTTAAAAGATCAGGGTTACCCGGTAATTACCCCACTACCTCTACCCTAAAGGGTAAAAGATCAGGGTTACCTGGTAATTACTCCACTACCTCTACCCTAAAGGGGAAAAGGTAAAGGTAATTTACTTGTTTAGTATAATTTACCTGGATCGTTTCAGTAAAATGTGCAGAATTACATTTTGAATAATCTTAAGAGTATAGAGATTTTTGTTTTTCGCAGTTACAAGGGTTACCCGGTAATTACCATGTAACCCATATGGCTCTACCTTACCTTTATCCTACCCTATAGCTAAATCTCTACCTTTACCATTACCTTTTACCCTAAAAGGTTACCTTACCTTGCCGAGTCCTAGTTTCGTCTACAAAGTTTTCGCTTTTCACATGGCCAAGTCTCGTGGAATATGGGAATTGCTCGTTTTCTAGTGTGCGGCGTTTAGAAGAAGCTGAATGTCTTTGACAAGGAATCCGCATCGAACTTCGATGCTTGTTGATTTCTTGGTCAAACTCGGCTCTAGAAAGTGCTTCTCAACTATTCCAGGAAGTATTTTGGCTTTCAATTCTTCTAAAATCAATTTCAATGAGATACTTGTTCACAAATTTTAAGCATGCAATATATTTTCACATATATTATAGTTACTTTGCTTAAAATTGATATTATTAGATCTCTATATGCTTAGTCATAACCTGAAATACATAATATCCATGTAATTGTCTTTGAGTTCATGAGTCATGAATTCAGTGATTAATTGATATAAATTAGTACAATAGTTTTATCACTCAAGCTGCCATCCTTTGTAGTTGTTATTTACAGATAAATATGAATGAATACTTTGTATATGTAAACTATTCCACATGTTAAGGTGGGAAGCTTGTACCAAGTGTAGGGTCCACTAATACCAACTGACATCCGGTAGGCTGCATTGCACAAACTCTTATTCTCCACAATTGGCAGAAAATCCAGTCGAGGACGGGTGGTTTAAAAGATCGAGATTCGGAGTCGTGGTATGTGCACACAAGACATCGAAGATGCTGCACATGTAAACATTGTACGAGCTTCATATCCGTTGATTTGTTTTGCGTACCAAAGAGAGTCCACAGATTTGACTGGTCAGGGATGAGACGAGACAAATTCTGCATGGTCGTCCGGCCTGGTTGAACATCTGTTCTCATGATGCCAATCTTGAAATCGCCTCTCCAGTCGTGTCCGTGTTCTTTTCAGCTCGAGCTGTTTCATTGAAGGACTGCTCGAAGAGCATGGATCGCCTCCTTCTTCTCTTTGCAGGAGTCAACATATATAGTGCTCTTGATGGACTTGATCGGTTTGATAGACAAGTAGATCAATCGATGGTGACTCTGACATCGAGATTACAAGATGCGATCATGGACTGCGTGAATGCATCTCCGAAAATTTTAGTGACTGTCACGCTACTGAAGAAGATGATACGCTGGATTGCTTTGAGAAATGATACAAAATTGAGGATACAGCTGCTGCTACGATCCCGTTGACAAAAACAAGGTGGCGGTTGTCATACATGCAGATTTTTCGAATGATGTCGGTGATTCTGATGGGCAAAGCTTACTCTAATACATATCATGTCAATGCACTCAATAGAACGCCAAAAACTTCGACACCGTCAGAGGATACAGCTGCTGCTACGATCCCGTTGACAAAAACAAGGTGGCGGTTGTCATACCCGCAGATATTTCAAATGATGACGGTGATTTTGATGGGCAAAGCTTACTCTCAATACATATCATGTCAATGCACTCAATAGAACGCCAAAAACTTCCACACCGTCAGAGGAAGGGACGGTGTTGCAGATGACTGTAGTGCACCCTCGCATATCTGGCGATATATCCTATATAGGAGAGGGCTTCGGAGTTGGCAAATGTCCTGATACGTTCACGAACCTCTCCGGAGAGATGAAATAAAGATCTCCTTATTTTCTGTTCATTTGAGTAACGATATCTGCTTCTTTCAGGAGTCAGAGGAGGAAATAAGTACATCTACAGTAGTCCTATCGATCATCTTCCTTGCCTCGATAAGCTTCCTAGCTTGCACACAAGTAGGGCCCTTATCAAGCTCCATACAACGGAAGTCCATGAAACTGAAGTTGAAGAAAAAGATTCATCATACCCTCATCAATTTGCATAGGTTTGTGAAGGATAATGACTCAGGCCTAAAGCAATACTGGGATTTGATCTCTCACTCTGGTCTCGTCCCTCATATTCAGGCATGGTTGTTTTAGGCGACAGTATACCGAGACGCATAAATTCACGCTCCCTCTAGCGCCTAAGTTAACCGGAGCATCTAGACTATAATTGAAGTAGGAGAAATTTCAGCCAATAAGGTGGGATGATTTTCAATCAAGTTGTAACCACGTCAGTCTCATAACTCACCTAGATCATAATCCGGAGTTTGTAAATTATTTTTTCTCTGCTCACGAGACTCACAACCAGTTCTCTCTCCGATTGATGGTGATTCTCTCTCCGAACCCCTCATTAGCTTTCAAAGTGCACTGAAAGTAGTTTTTTGCACAAAAGCGCCTAAATTATCTAAAATAATTTTCTTGATACGACTAAATTAAGCGTTTTTAGGTGATTTATGCTACCGACTAGTATAATCATGCCTGCTCATATTCATTGTAATATAAAGGATTCAGGCTACATCAACTGTTTTTGCAAGGTGGGCTGGGTGATATCTGTGGTTTTTTGTTGGGAAATCCGTATTATTCCTCCGAAGCATTGTTAGACCATGACGTATGTTTTGGTCGAATCTATGATTCTGAGAATGCCACCGATGACAGTCTAAAATATATGCCTTCATTATTTCACTCACTGTGGCTCAGACCTTCAAGCGGTACAAGTTGCTCGGATGAGTCCTTTCAGCATGTCGTCACTCTTGAGCTCCTACTTACATCGAGGCAATTTTTAAATCGATATCAATCTTCTGAGCAGAGGTTCTCAATCATGTAAGTGAGCAAAGCATGCAGTTCTCCTTAAGACAGGACGGATCTTCCAACTAAGGGTCACAATTTAACTAAAAGAAATATGGAGGTTCACTATGTGGAAACCTCCTTGCCGCCAATGTTCTGAAGCTAAGATGGGGACTGCAGTCGGCAGTAAGCTTCAGCCACAAGAGTAGATGAATGCATAAGCTCCCAGCGTTACAGATGACAAGGATTCACGGTTTTTGCTCCTTCGCTCGAAATGAAGCTTACTGACTTGTGTCAATTGTAGAGCAGGCCTTAGGGATATATATAGCCCTCTTCAATCAACTGACATAAACAGAAGTGGTTCTATCGGCAACCGTAAAAGTACCATTCACTGATCCGTTCTCCACGAGCAGAAACATATATAATCACTGACGGCTATGAGTGTGACCACGGAATTATATACGGAAACTTTTTCAGATGTGAAAGGAAATAGTCTGATATCCTTAGGAACTGCTTAGGCACAATAGACTGTACACGTGCTCTCTTCTCATTCCCGTGCTTTGAATCTCACAAAATCCGCGTAATCTACACCATCCAGAAATAAAGAACGTGCCTCTCTCTGTATGTGATGCGACGCTGTTTATCAACAGTCTACTCTGACTGACGACTTCACCAATATATTATTGGTGAAGCTATCTATAACAGATCTATGCTCGACCAAAACTGAACGATGCTTTGATAATTGTCCCCTGAACTTGTCTCGGATACTTGTAGATTGTTGATTCCATACATTCAGCAGTAAACAAAGTGCTAAAAATTAGAGTTGTCTGGAGAAATGTCACACTTTTCGTTGGAGGATGTGAGCCGCCCATGTGCCTGAGGTGAAGGGACCTGTCAGATGCATAAGTATAAAATTATCTTCAACGGCGAGAAGCACAGGTGATCAAATCATTTGGGATCTACGTAAGTTCCTACAAAGAACCCCCGATGATGCTTTTCGGTAGAGAGCTGTCGGTGTGAGTATTCGATGAGGCAGAGTTCACAGAAACAGAAGTCACGAAGTTCATGTGTCTGTGAGAAGAGGAAGAGTTGTTAAGGAGGATGATGGCCCACTTCCTGGTTTTACTGTTGTCTATTCTACTCTTGTTTCCCGTGGAGTTTATTTCCATTTCTTTTTTTCGTACTAGAATATCAATTGGACCCCAGTCTGTTCAGAGGCCCATTCCAGAAATAGGAGTCATTTCCACGAAGTTCTCGTGGGTATCGCAGAAACTTCTCGAAAGCGACTCCTATATCCTCCACAATTCATTCGCTTCTCAGTCCATTATATGAGATTGATTCTCAGCAAAATCCTGTAAATGGAACATTCTGAACTACGACGTAATGGCTAGAGTTGGAGCATTGATTTTCCAAACATTTAACATCCCAAAATCAAGGGAATCATTTTACCAAATATTTTACACAGCCAAAGTTATATAAAATCGATCTCTGCGACTGCAGAGAAGGATCCTGCGGTCTGATCCCTTCTCCGCCAGCTCCTCAAACGGCTTTGTGCATAAAGAATTAATTCCAGTGGATTTAAGTGGCACTGAATCACATTATACCGAATGTATTCGATTCTTTCAGCTTTTGCTTTGACTAGATATGAGAATATTAAATATGGCCTACGACGGAAGCTTAAACAAGCTCAGATCTCCTGGATCTATGTACATAGATATTTTTTGGTGTGGGGGGGGGGGGCATTTTTCTCCTAATTTTCTCTAGTTATTCTAGAGAAATTTTTTTCTCGACCGTAGATTTTCACAATCTGTAGACAATCCCCCCCCGCTTGCTCCGCCACTGGATATGTATATATATCTACATCGCTCCACTGAATTATAGTCCATATATTACGCTCAGCACTTGTGATAGCAATCGACAGTGCGAGCCGACGGCTGCTCTCCTCGCCTTCGTCATTCTGAAGTTTCATCAGACCACAATTTTCCTCATATCAGAGGTTCATTATGGAGAGACTCACGATATGCTGGAGTCTCGTTCTTCTGATCTCTTTGATAGGGATTTTCCAGTCAGAGGCGAGCAACCTTGGCCTCAAGAAGTCTATCAATCTTACGTACTACGTCCACGACACATTTGTTAAAGGATCTGAGACCTCTGTCGTTGTTGCAACCGTTGGAGAAAACAAGGGAGATCCTGCCTTCGGAGATATCAGAGTATTCCACAGCCCGATAAGGGCGACAGAGGACAGAAACTCGCTCCTGCTCGGGAACACGGGTGGAACTCTCGCTGATATATCGCATTTGGAAAATAACACATATCACGCGTCTTTCTCGGTCTCGTATAACTCTTCGGAATACGTCGGCACCTTCAGTGTCCAAGGACGAGTTACTCCCGGCACAACGACGTGGGAAGTACCGATCATCGCTGGAACGGGTGATTTTCGTGGTGCTCAAGGCTATGGCATTGCGAAAGCTTACAATGTCACCGATATCAGTGACGTCCTATTCAAGTACGATGTTTTCTTGAACGTTGAAGTCGCTGATAGTTACTCTAGAGCTCAGCAGACGATGTAGACTGGCGTCCTGATGTTGAAACCTTCTCTTTCTGAGAACTCGAGGACATCTTCTCAAGTAGAATAAGACGAGCTGCGAGCAAGTGCAGAGTGCAATGTTGAAGTTTTTAGTACGAATAATGTTGGTTGTAGGAGCTGCGGCTCGGGGCAGTTGCTCGAGAACAATGCTACTGACGATTGCTCGCAGTTGCGAAGACCTCTATGAGATCGTAGTATTATCATCCCATACCCTCAGAATTCAGTCCTGCGTGTCAGTAACTCATTGCTGTTTTTCATAGTTTTACGGCATTGAAATTCTGCAACCTGAGATCTTAGCTGACTCTTCTGGTCATATAATGTAAATATGAGAGCTTTTGCACTCGGTCAGATCTCGTAGTATTTTTCCTTGCAAAAATGTTTTTCTACCATAGGCGATCATGTGTTTACATTATACGATCTCTCTATTTAGCAATATTACTGGGCCAATCCATGACTGCACTTGATGAGCGCTGGACAACATTCTAGAAACTGGATCAGCGAACTAGAATGCATTCTCGGAGATGTATGTCGATGAATAAGTTAACTATGACTAGAAAGGTTGTAACGAGCATGAATTCTCGCAAAACAAGCAAGAACGTGAACATCAACTTTCCTAACATGTATATACAAGAATAACCAGATAATATTAAATTATAGATACTGGTTCTTGGATAACCCACTAGATTCACCCTTGTGATATATGTCAGCAATTACCACACTCCAGAAGTGTCTACCCACATTCCAAACATCTTTATTTTGTTAACTTGTCATCTCTCGTGCGTGTGGATCACTCAACAAGAAAATATTATATATGTAGATCATTAGTTATGTTCTACGAGGATTGAGAGTTTATAAGGTTCAATAGTTACGTTCTAAATTGATTGAGAGTTTATAAGGTAAACATGCTTTTTAATTTATAAGATAGTCTTACAGTTGTGAAACTCTTTCAATTAATTCACAGAAGATTCTAAAAATTAGTCGGACACTTCAGTCAAATAAATCATTTCCATTGAATCTTTGAAATAGGAGGAGAAACAGGTGAGAGGCCAAGAAGCCAAACAACACCAAGTGCGTTCAAAAACAGATATGTGGCAGGCAAGGAAGCAAGGATCAAATTGGAAGAGGATAGAAACAGGAAATCTAAAGATTCCCCTGTTGACATTTGTGTGATTTGTAAGTACAACCTTGGATGCTAATGATATTGATAACAACCGTAAGGGAGAATGCTACATATTTCTCGAAAAATCAATACTTTGCCAGCGACTTAAGGCATTGATGGCGCGTTCGATTTCTATCTTGTTAACGAATGCCGTAACGTCACGTACAACCTGTGGATGAATCATAGAATCATCAACTATAGCCATGTCTATGATATCCTTGCGGCCGGTGAGACCACGTACCACGGGGTTTTCCACGTTAAAATCATAGACGAGATATCCCTTATTGCAACTAAGTTAGCTACAAAGGCAGATCAGGGAACTCTTCTAACATGAACGCACAAAAGAGAACGAGGTTTGACCCTCGTCTTGGGTTTTGGCTGAATCCATTAAAAGAACTGTGCTCGGGTCGTTGTGCATTTTCTTGAGGCAGGCGTAGATATCGCTATCTTAACCCTTCCCTCTTTTCTGGAGGTTCTTAGCAGTTTCTACACATTTACATCCGCCTTTGGTACCTCGTGTAGCAACAATTGAGAACTGTGTGTGATCTCCATAATTTGTTTTTCATTCCCGGTTGGGAATGAAAAACAGTACACAAAACGGAACACAAAGATGAACCCACATGTTCTCTTATTACCGAGTTCGTTCTTCCACAAGCACTGAGAATCTGGCCATCAAAGAGAAGTGAATGCATGAACGAGGAAGAGCAAAGCCTTCATGGCCTGTTGCAGCCACTTAAATTCATTGATTACACAAAAAACGTAACCAACCATGCAGTCTCATCAGCAGGTCCATTCCAGTTCTCTCCTCCAACTTTATTCCCCAAAAAACAATGAAGAAACAAAAAGTTTCTATTGAACTCACCAACTAAAGCCGCACTTTCGGTATTATGCTGGAACCTCAAATGAACATTCGATCCCCACAATTTTGAAAGCAGCTGGAGATGGAGTTCCGCGTACAGAGTATGACACCACGGGTTTACCTTTAGCGTTCCTATCTTTGTAAGTTCCTGAATGTCAGGCTTTGCTACACAGTTGATAGTAGAGGACATAGTTCTAAAATTGACTAACTTCTGCTGACGAAGTCCGAAGGAGTTCGGAAGACTTCGATGCCCAGACTTTCCACGTAACCAGTTATTGGCGGGGCCTGTTTGTAAACCCTGACGCGCATCTCCGTTATGGACGGATGTGCTGCTAACACCTCGCGAGCTATCTCATGAGCTACTTTTTCTACCAGATCAAATGTCGGACCTTCCACGATCTTCTGCATGATACTAAGTACATCCAAGTGGTTAATAAAAACAGGTAAGCAAATGCGGAGCCATCTGATTCCTTAGGGAATTACGTGCAGCAGGTCAATGCGGGAAAAGGGGCAGAAAGCTACACGATTCTGTCTGATTCACCAATTCAGATTTTTTTTCTTCGAAATCAAAACGCCTCGGCTCGGTCAAGTTCAACAAAGAAACTGATGGCGCACACCTGAAAACATCCGCGTAGCTCACAGTGTCGTTCACATCATCGGAGGTGCCGCACTTTTTGAGATCTACCCACGCATCCACGTCGACCATGAACTTCTGTCCCAATATCTTCTCCTCATCAATCACACCGTGATAGCCTTGAAACTTACCGCCCCGAATTATCAATCTGTCTTTTCCTTTAACACGCTCTCTGGATCTCTCGGAACATGGCAACGAGCAGGAATAAATCTCCCCGAGCTTGAGCCATCACAGATGACTCCGTACGAAACGTAACAAAGAAAACGAACAGAGAGGCAGAGATTTTTACAGACAATGCAAGTTTACGGTTGTCTCTTCAGGTCACCATAGAAGGAAATTGTAGTCCGGCCCAAGCAATTGAATACCTATAAATGTACGAGAAGAAGAAGAGTCCACTTACGGGATATACGGTTCACCAGACCCTTCGTAAGAACTCGATGATCTGAATTCACAATTTGAAACTTATAAGCTCAGCGACGAACCGTAGACTTCTCAGCATTCTTCTCAGCATTCCCTTAAACCCGGCTGCAGACGTAAAAGAGGAAGCGAATTCTGAAAAGTGAAAACAATACACTCACCGCCTGAACGCCGCGACCGCATGGTTGAAAACTCGGGGGTGACCCTGAGCGTCTTCCCAGCACTGCAATGCTCCACCATTTGGAGCTGCGCGGCACCTGCGGAGGTGATATTCGCTACAATTTCTCACCGCTCTGATGACAGCAGCCGACAAGCGCTGTGCCATTTCTCCTGAACTCCTCGGAGCGATATTTTTGGACTCCGTTGTGAACAAATGAATCCGACATCATGTCGGATTCGTTGGACCTATCCTCATCGTACGACACGTTGCACGACACGAGCTGCCCTCGCTCATCCGTTTTCGCGGCTCCACATTGTCTGTACACTACAGAATTGCATAATAATTCACGACTGCTCACTCTCCATGGTCTTTGCTGTAGATATACATAATCATCAACTACCACAAGCTTCATTTTTAAATCCTCGCAGGTCGAGGTACAGATGCGCTTATCGGATGTGAATTAAATTATTATTTTTTGTAGCAAACTAGTCTATATAAAAATCCATCGAATGCAAGTGTAAAGTCTGTGTCTAATGCTGCACCCATATCTTATCCAGAGCTTATACCAAGAGCATTTAGTTGGACTACTAACATACGATATAAAAGATATATGAGGTGCAAGAGATCAAAAATTTGGTCAAGCGAGTTGTAGGTAGACTAACATCGCTACAAAATTTTATGCGGATATGTTTAAAAATTGAAAACAAGTGCAAATTAAACGTTTCTGCAACTATGATGATTATGACCCAACTCAATGTAATGACTTTGGTAAAAAATGATGATAACTTAGTGATGATGACATAGTTTGGATCAATCTTGAGGAATCAAAGCAATGATAGAATTCTAAGACAATTTACCCATATTTACTTGTGATTTATTGTTGTGATTTGGAACTGGAAGATTACATAATTAGAGTTGGATATGTATATGTATTTAAAAATATAGAAGAAATGTTATAAAGATTAAGTTCTAATCTTATGGATATGTTTTATTTTTTCTATCAATATTATGTCTTCATCAAGATCATTTTTTATTTTAGTTAACATATAATATGAAAAATAATAATTATATTTTTATTTTTAAAATATTTTTAAGTTTGCAACTTCTGATGTGATAAAGTATTTTTTGTTTTAATATTTATTTTGTAAATCATTTCAAGCCAAAATGTTGCACTTTTTGATATTTAAATTATGATATATCACTATTACTATTTAACACAATTTATAAAAATCTGATTGTTACAAATTTTGACAAGAAATATTATCATCAACCAATTAAAAATAAATATTCAAATATTTTATTTATTTCTTATGTTAAAATTTAAGTTGAATGAGAATTTTTTTTGACTTTATTATGAGTAAAATTTGGAATTTGTTTATTTTTACTAGTGTAAAAATTTTTACCAATAGAAGTTAATTAACAAAGTTCGTAAGGTTCAGTAAAATTTGACCTAATAACGTATATCACACATTTGACATCTATTTGATAAGATTGAATCAATGTTTAGTTTAGGCTTATTTTCAAAATGCCACTTGTGGCAGTTTGCCTCCCGCAGGATTGATATTGAAACCGCCACGCTGTGGCGGTTGGATACCCATTTATTATTTTTGTTCCAGCCACATGTGGCGTTTTGGCTGCATTGCATTAAATTTTTGTCATCACGGCTAGCTGTGGCGTTTTGGTTGGCTTTTATCAAAATCCTGCCGCCACAAGGCAATTTTTCTGCACATGGGGAACTCAGACACTTCCTATGTGCCTTTGCTATACCAGTCTAACCCGCTTGCCTATTGACTCCTCCTATTACATGCGGCGCTCTTTGGTTGCCTCCCATTTTGCCAATGCAACTAGATATGAAAAATTGTGCGCTGTGTACGATGACTGCTAAATTCAAACGCATACATTGAGGTGTTTTGGCCTTAGGCGATTGTGCTTTTCGTCTTTGAGGTAGTTCATAGCAGAGAACAGAGTCCACATAGCATATTGGGATAACTAGCATAATTGCAGCCAACTTGTAGAAAATACTCAATGTGTTTGACAGGATGTCATTTCCTAGTATAGCCTTCCAAAATGACTGGGTTGTGCTCTGATGTCTGCCCTCCTCCACAAAATTTTGCATGAGAGCCTTGACGCTATACTCTTGCAACTCTACTTCAATACGATCTACTAAGGCTAACACTTCTTTCTCATTGATCAGTTTGGTGATCTTCCCACATCTGTTGTACAAGATGTTCACCTTGATACCAATATCTTCATCATCCAATAGGTTGGCTGCAAAACAACAAAGTCCTCAAGCACTTCAACCGGAGGAAAACTCCTTTGAGATCAACCACTAACAGCTTGGTAGTGTTTGTAGCTAATTTCTTTGCACGACTCTCAGCTGCATGAAAGTAGCTCTCAATCATCATGGTAATTTCTGTGTGCTAATTTGTTCAAGGCCCACTGTGAATGTGTTGATGATGTCGTGCATGAGCACATCATCCTCCTTGACATTGGTGTCAAACTGCAAAGTGTCATCATCACTCCAACACAACGGGTTAAGCTTCCTACCCTCTCCTTCATCAATCAGATCAACAAAGCCCTTCTACATTTTGCTTGTGAACATCTTGTCACTCTCTAAGTATTCATGCTTCAATGCCATTGATTTGTTGTCAACTTGGACACGCAGCTTATCAAATAGCACATCTCGCTAGTATGAAAACTTACTGAGGTTCTGCAACAATTTGAACCGTCACATCAAGACCCGGCAGCCAAGCATGGTATCGATCTCCATGAACTGCGCATTTAGCTTCTCAACAGCCAGTTTGGTTTTCTTGTTGGGATCTTTGGAGGTCATGTCATCGCGCAAGGTGCCGATGATGGATGCATACTCCGTGATGATGTTCGACAAGCAGCCCTTCACAAATAGCCACCTAACATCATGCACGCGGAGCATGCGCAACCCGGGTGAGTTGCAAGCATCTGCATGGTACTTGAAGCCAACCCAACGTTGAGATGATCTAGCAAAGTACGAATGAGCACCATTGACGGCTGCCTCGATCTATACGTATAGAGTATCCTTGGTGATCACACCACCCACAAGAGCTGTGTTATGTACTGCACATGAACTGGCAACATAGCGGAAGCCACTTGGCTAACGAGCTGTGTTGCTATTCCGACATGGCAGTCCATTATGATAGACGCACCATCAATGCCAAATGCAACAAGCTTAAGACCCAAACATGTCTAACATGTTTTGGACATACGTCAACAGTGCTTTGGTATGAGAGGTAGCGTTGGTATTGGTGAGTGGTTGAAGAATGAGGAATTCGGACCTGCGCTGGCCGTTCTTGATGAACAAGATCTCCTGGAACATATACTCAGTAAGATCACATGCGGTGTTGTCATCGATGGTGAGGGCGATGATAGGGGAGGCATTGACACGACGCTTGAGCTTCTCTACTATGACTGCATCTAGGGCATCAGCCATTTCCTAGCCAGAATCATCTATCAATGGGAGCTGCCAATATGTTTGCAGCCGGCAGCATGGAACAGGTCCGCAATATCAAGAAAGTTGCAAACGAGATGAATGTATTCCATTATTATATACACGTAATAATGTTGTGATGTTCTGCTAGTTCTGATAGTTCTGCATCACGGGGATCACATACTTCTCAGTTTGAACTAGGTCTTATCGGAGACGGCAACCAACACACAGCTCAAGAGTTAATGCAAGAGATGTTCTCACCGTTGGCTATTCTACGACAATAGCCTCTAGTGGCGCATCCTTTCTCTTCTTCTTGCTGGCGGCCAAGGCTTTGACTTTGACATGATTTGGGTAGTCTCAGATTGTCTGCCAAAGATGCCCAAGTACGTGCTTTGAACTGCATTCACCGAAAGGGGAAAGCCTGGGCGGTTGATACCATTACCACCACCAATCAGAACCGCAAGCTATCACGACAAAAGACATACAGATAACCTAGATGGACATTCTTCTGTCCTTGCACTGCATCTGAAATAGCAAGAAAGGGCACCAAAGCGAGTAATCAAACTAAGGTCCGTGCATCGTTGACGAAGGGTTGGCTGCCGCATGTATATTCGGGTCACTGACTGCAGACTTTGAGCTATGACGCTGGGTTTTGAAACTTCACCTCCAAGCGCCAAGCGCCACCGCCATCTGTTGAATGTAACGGGTTTTGGACAGCCACCTCCGTTGTGTACTGGAATGCACTGGCATGCAAAGTACCTCCAAAGTAAATGGCCGGATGTGGCGGCAGCCTGAAACTCCACTTAGTTTTGTTGCCGCCATAGTGGTGGCAGCCTTTGGCTGACTTAATTTTGCTGCCGCCATAGCGTGGCGGCAGCCTTCGGTTGCATTATTTTTCACAATTAGCCACAATTAGTTAAAAATTGCCACATTTCGGATTGACTAAATTAGAAATTGTCACATTAGCGATTAACTGCCACTAAACGAAACACTGGATTGAACACTCATTAAAATAAACTATGTGTGAGATTTGAAATTAGATTTTTGTATGATTCAGTCTTTTTTTATGAGATACAAGCTGGAAAATGAATTTTATTTTTTAAAAAATAAAAGCATGTTCTAAAAGAATATAGCACTTCTGTCATATCTTTATGTTGTTAGGTTATGTTGTCACTAATTATAAACGTGGACAAATCTCTCGAGTAACAATTTAGGAGATTTAGTTGTAAAGTAATTTATCAGTTCCCTTCACATAGAATGTAGTGATCATTCACATATTTATGTATTGACATTTTCAATGTTTGCTCGGATTGGAATCTTGATGTGTGAATCTCATGGATACTTGTTTTTTCTCTTGAGTCATTTTGCAATGGGTATCTAAGCAAATTTTATTTCAAGTTGCTAATGATATTAATTGACTCTCCACATCTAGGCTTTTGATTTTGATTCTCCTCTTTAATCTAAACTTGTTTGAAGTGTGATTCTTCAGATCTGTTGATTTTGAGAATTCTTACATTTTAGTTTGTTTTGATGGTTAATTTTACATTAGTTGAGTGAAAGTAAGGATATTGACAAAAGCAAGAAGCTAGGTATTAGATGCAAGTAGATCTTTATTGTTGATTGATGTTGATGGTGCGTTTATTACTTGGCTTTGAGCAATGTTGCGTTGCTATGCATTTTTTTGCTTACAATGCGTGACAGAGGAGAGGCTAGGTTATGTAATTAGTCTATATGTTGAAATACTTGTAACTTACTAGCAGAGATAAATGTATTGGGAAATGATTTGTTGATGAAGTGATGTGGTCTAACCTCAATCGCTTGAAGTTTTTTGCTACCACCTACATGTTTTAATGTCATTTTAATTTAGATTGGTTTGATTTCAAAGAAATGTCATTTTTATTGATTGAAAGGAGTTGTTGAAATTAGTCAATAGCAATAAAACCAACAAGGAAAATTTGTTCTAGTGTTGGACACAATCTGGAAGCTTGAATTGAATCCGTGAAATTTTAAAAATATAGAAGTATCATACAATTTGATGATCATCATTTTGGATTAGTATAACTTGTATAAAGTATAAATTAATGAAGTGAAATGAATCAAGTAATGAAAACCAAACTAATTTATTATAACCTCTCCCTGTTCCAAAACAATGATGAAAATTTATTATGTTCTTGTATGTGAAAAACTAAAAACTTTGTTAAGAAATGATTCAATTGTGATTATTATATAAAGAGTAAATGTAAGATTTATCAAGCTAGAGATAGAATTGCATTATAGTAAACAATTTGTAATCGTCATGTTAACAAACTATCATGATTCAAATGAATTGTTAGATAGAGAGTGAATGTGTTAATTGAAAGTGACATGTTAACAATTTGTGCAATTTTTAAATATATGTGACAAATCATCAATCCATTCGAATGAAATGTAAGATTGAGGTGATACCTTATCTCATCTCTTCCAAGAAAAGAAAAAATTTCAAATTATATCTCATCTAGCATTGTTTAGGAAACTATATTATGCAATGAACCAGTTTGAAATTTATATCTCAACAAATATTGTTTTGGAAACTATATTATGAATTGAGAAAATGTATCTTGAGCAAAATGACACTAGGTATAATAATAAACAGTTTTGAGACTATTGTCATCCAAACTTTTTTGAAATTAGAGGAGCTAACAACACTATATGCTCGACTATAAGAACATGTGCATGAAATATGTTTGTGCCATGCACCAAATTATAAAGTTCCAAGTCCATGGAATGAAGAAGTCTTAGTATTTGAAGAGATATGAAGATTTGTTATCAAGAAAAGACTCGAAAAGCAACTGTTCACTTCTATGAATTGAAATGAATATTGAACAAGCACATAATTTGACTGCCTTGTCTTATGAATGTAGTGAGTACTAAATTTTGAGAAATAAAAATGACAACTTTTATTGGTTGATCCTATTGGAATGTAGCGAAACATTTCGAATAATCTACTCGGTCTTCGTAAGAGTTGTTTTGACATATAAACTATGATTGTGTAGTGTATTGTGATTGTCATCACTTGTGCACGAAGTTATTTAGTAGATCGCAATAAATTAAATTAATGACACTAATTTTTATCACCGTAATTTGTGGCACTGAGGGTAAAGATTTTTGAACAGAGTGTGTAATTACCATAGAATAATTGTATAAATTTTCTTCAATCCCTGAATGTCAAATTACAAATGTAATTGAGTGAATGATCGTCGAATAAAACATGAACGGAATTTATCTGCATACTTAAAGAAGAGAGTATCGAAGAGGATATCAGTACAATTCATTTCCAAACAATTCTGCATGAGTTACAATTTGCTTACCAAAATAATACAAATCTTTTTGTCGTAATATATCTTATTAGCGTGACAATGTTAACACATTGAACCGTCAAATCCACACGAGACAATGAAATTCAACACATTCGAAGAATTTTCATTTTATGACTTGGATCATAAAACTCAGTTACTTGCGTGTACTAGTTAGTATTTGGTTTTCCTCTATTAGGGCCATATACTCCAGTGACAAGATGGTACTTGGTTTTGCTCTCTTAGGGCACTATCTCTAATGACAAGATTGAACATAAAAGTTTCGATGTTTTTCTGATAAGTTATCAGGATTGTGAACAGTTACATGACAGAATGTTGAACACTTCCAACTTACTGTTGACACTTGGGGCACCATCGTTATTAGAATGCTCGTTCATGTTTATTTGGTTACTACATGTGTACTGTACTTCAGTTAAAAAGCCACAAAGTTCTTCGTAACAGTACTGTTACTTTATCAAACCAATTTAGACATTCGTTTAGGGTGTTTACTCTTAGCTTCAATGTAGCAGAATAACATGAAGGATTCGATGTCTTCATAAATACGCCAAATGCATTTCAGAAGGTGTGCTTCAATCTTGTCACTTGAGGATTTAGTCCTAAAAGGGAAAAAACAAGATGCAACTGCTTCACGACGTGAAAACTCGGTGCGCATTCTTATGTTCCTCATGCTGTAAATACATGTTGGCAATTAGGCAAATTTTGATGTGCCTCCATAAAGCGTCCAGGCACCGGTGATACATCGACCTCTCAGTGGTAATGGGTTCTCGCAGAATTTCCTGGTATCCGTAACAAAGACTGACAACAAAATCTTTTCTATCAATAGAAATAACTTGTAGGTAAGTCCTGAAGGCAATATATAACTAAACCAAGTGTATCATATGTACACTTGTACAGAGAATTTGACGTCAGCCTATCATTCATAACATTCTAGTAAAAAGTTGCTTGCATCTCCAGAAGAGCAAAGCTGTAACAGGAGCCTAAACAATAAATATTACAATGGACAATACTTTCCCAACATATTAGGTATTCTGCAAACAGATGAATCGACAGAGATCAAGAAGCAAAGCAATTGAGAAGCATGAATACCATGGACTTTCCAATAATCTTACCTAGGTGGCAAAACTCGTTACTCAACTGCTCAAATGAAGAGCTCCAGGAAGAGAATGCAAGGTTGCACATTCTGCTACAATAGACGCACGTTAAAAGTGCAACATTGCATTCTATTCCAAAATAAAATATTAATACATGCCCTTGAAGACGGGATTGGTTCGGCAAATGCTTGACCCGTACTCCTCATACTCTGCTTTAGTATGGCATGCCTGTGGTTGCAAACATCACAATTACACATTAATTCAATTGTTGACCTTAATAAAAGATCCTTAACTCCCTTAGTTTGAATATAGATCAATAAAGACAAGGTTTTCGTGAATAATGATATCTAAATCGCAAACCTTCAGCGCCACGTTCCGCAGGATTAAATAACTTCGGCAGTTTGAAAAAAGATGAAATACCTTATAAAAATCCGGTGTAGATGCAAGAACAGAGCCTCCAAACCAAACAGCAAAGCGTTGCATGTGGTGACCCACAACATTAACGTCCACAGCCTGTGCCTGCAGTAAATAACGGAAGAGGTAATATTAAGCTTCACACTCCAGGACACATCGCTGTCCTTCCCGATTACACTGGAAATTAAAAACTTGACTTTACGTCCGTCTCTTTTCTTGTCCCATTTACTAGAGAGTCCTGTGAGGACTTGGAGTGTTTTCCTTAAGGTCACCAACAATGATAATAGATTCATGAGCAATTCTGTGTACCTTGTGACCTCCACCATTTCGAAATTCCGAAGCAGTCAACCTAGTATCAACTATCTTCTTGATATCTCGTTGTAATCTTCTCTGGAAATCCTTGAACATAGTTGAGCCGCCGGAAAGTACGATATTCTGCATCATAAAAATACGTAATCAGCATCAATGGAAACACCAATTGCCTGAAAATAGAATGAAATGATGTGGCTAACACAAGAATCATAGGTGCAAATCTGATGGTACATTATCCATTGTCGGCTTAAACTAATGGTACCGTACATACACCTCGTGTTACCTTTAATGAATTTCGTATGGAGAAGACGTTAAATCTAAAGCTGGGAATCAAGATACAAACCTTATAAAGAGCTCGCCGAGTGTCTATGGGTGAAGTTTGTATGCATTTATCCACAATTTCAGGGAGCGGGACTGTGAAGTCACTGCTGTAAATCTCCGGAGAAAAAAATACCTTCACATGATAGAAAGCGGAAGATGTGCAGTGTTCAGAGCATCACAAGCTTGTTCAAACTCAAACAGATGCATCATAAACCTCAGGCTGAACTAAACTGAATAGAGATCGTCCAAATTACTTCCACAGCAAATTGTCATGACGGCACGAGTTGGACAGCAGAGTGAAAGAGAGCTCAAACACTGCTTTCCTAAACAGAAAAAGTACCTCAGGTGCTAAGAATCTCTCATAGCCAATGTCACACTTGTAAGGAGTCCCTGTCTTGCTATTCTTTCCGGTCCATTGCTTAATATATTTGGATGGTTCTTTGTCATGTTTGCCAAACTCCTGCTCGGCCAGGTCAACAAATAATGAATCAACATTCAAAAATCCGCTCCGTGCTACGCAAGGATCGTACCAATTGCCCTAAACAGATCTGCTAGCTTCGAATTAAGAAAAAACACCAGCTAGCCCTCGAACCAATGCATCAAAGAGTTGAAGTAAAAGCAGAGTTCTCAGGACTGAAGTACCTGACAGAACTCAATCTAAACAGACCATTTCAAAAAGAAACAAATAGTAATCAAATATAGACGCCTGTGATAGGAAATAGATCATAGAAAAGAAAATTCAGGGATTCATAGGTAATAGCTTAAGACAAGGAAAAAGAGTTTGAGAGTAAAGACAATGACATGTCCAAATACGAGCACAACTTCTGTCTTGTCTAATGCATTTGAACAACAACGTTCTGCAAATTGTCAAAGTATTCTTGTACTACTTCGTAACACATTTGAGAAGCGACAATCACCTTGACAATGTCGGCACAGGTGTAGCAATACATCTCCTTAATTTTCCTCGAGATGTCCAAAGAATCTTCCGGTGGTACAGGCTCTCCTCTTTCCTAGAACATCATAAAAAAAGGATCAACACTCCTTACTCTTTAGAGAAGTTCCTCATCACGGTAACGTTAGGTCTCTATCCCAGTTCAGCAGAAATAAGACTTCAGTAGCTTCCCATAAACCTTTCTTTGTTCATAACTTTACTTTCAATCCAGTTTCTGAACATTTGACACTAGTCATAGAGCTCAGGTTATAAAGATGGGTGAGTTCGTATTGCACCAAGATAGCGTAAAATCATTCCACCGCAATGTAGAGAAAGACTTCGACTGAAATGATCAAGCATGCTAATTTTTTCCAAATACTCCATACTAAAACAACAAACTTACTCGCATCAACTGCTGTATGAAAATATTCAGATCCCTTCCGGCTATAGGTACTGACTTGATACTGCTCCCAATAACATAGCCATCTGCTACAGGCACCACATGTGTCATTCCGTCACCCGCATCGACGACAACGCCTGTCATTTCACACTGCCAAACGACAACTTACTCAAAACCTGGAAATGGTGGTGATGCTGAAATACATATCGCCCACGAGTTTGAGCTAACAAGAAAAAAGAAAAAACTAGTGAACACTAACAGTTTCATCGAAAATGTACTCGGAAATAGAAGACAAACCTTCGATGTCGTATAACCAGCAGCCAGAGCCAACACTGCTTGTACTGCAATATACAGACCAGGCACATTGAAAGTTTCAAACATGATCTCTCCTGTGTACTCGCGAGTTTCAGGTGCAGTGAGAGGGCTCTCAGTTAGCAAAAAGTAGTGATCTTCCGGGTCGCAGCGAAGGTAATTGAAAATACATTGCTGCCAAAACCTTTCCATGGTATCCCAGTTTTCCACCTGATGACGGTAGAAGCCATATTTCACGAAATTTGAAAGTAATCAGGTAGCAATTTGACGTAGTTGAATGGAACTTCACTACAGAAACAACATCACATATTGAAGCGTCTAAGAACCTGTACTGTACTTTACTCCTTATCAATAGTTGCCTCTCATGGCTTCAAGACCTTAGTCCCAGGCTCTAGCAGAGTGCTGCTAGTAGGAAATGTAGAGGAAAAATAAGTGAGGGCGACTGAGGTAGAAAACGAGAGAGAAATATCCTACAGTGAAGAAGGTCTCAATTGAAGTGGTCTTGATCCTATGCATTAGGTTGGTTCCCGAATATCATATAGTTATACCAAGAAAATATCACTAAATCATCTCCCTGATGAGTGACAGCCCCAGAACAAACTGACTTACGTATCGCAGCAGCGTTGGCTATTATTTCAGACAGGAAGTCTGCAAATGCTTCCGGCTCCACGAGCTCAGGGAGGATGTGGTATGATATGGCATGAATTCCTGTGATTCGATTGGACAGATTATTGACGTGGCTCTAGTTTCTCTAGAGCACACAATGTGCAAGTTGCAAGGTGGTTCTGTATCTTGCTCTTCAAATGACAGAAGGGACGAACCCCGTTCGATACTGAATGTCCAACAGCGTCCCAAAAAATACTTGAAGGAGATTTTTAAGGCCAGGCATAACACTCAAGTTCAAGTTCCAGCTGGGGGTTTAAGAAAGAAGGTTATAAAGACCCTAGCCAACTCAGACTCTGGAAGAGGAAAGAGCAACAGCGGATAAAGTCAGACTAAAACCTGGCCATGGCGTATAGGGTAACTGAGGGTGTAGGCGTTTGCATCCTTTCTAGCCAATGCCTCGTCGCCTATAAAAAAATCGAGATCAGCCATAACACCAGCACTGTGGAGAGCGGAACCACCCCATCCACCTTTGCCTGTCGGAGCCGACGCCTGACCAAGAAATGACTCATTTACGGCGACCACTGTAGGTATAATAAAACACGGTTCCACATTTCCTGCGAAACCCATTTTCGTGTACCTGCCATAAAAGTACTCATTGCAATTAAGTTTCGCATATCAAGTAATGATCACACCTCGCTCCAAAATTCAATTGCAGGAGGTTGCCATGGGAGTCCGTTCCCAGCTTCTAATCTGAAGATAACCAGTTTTCAGAAAGACTTGAATTCCGCAATTTACACGGCCCAGTCGAGGCTGAGGCTGGGGCCAGCATAGCCTCAAAAACAAATCGCAATATGAAAAGACAGTATCTTCTCTCACAGCATTCCGACTGCTCAGCTCAAAATTGAGTAGCTCCATTTTGCAACTCAGCTCACCAGCTGTCTGACCATCCATGTTCCCCGCACTCAAGAAGCATCGCAGAAATTTTATTCCTTTCGACATCCACTTAAATTTTCAACTGAGAAATTGGCGAATCAAGCGACCCACACCAAGCGAACGATCTGCACAATACGGTGCTCAAACAAGCAAAAGAAGAACACAAGTAAGGATCACAGGGGAGAAGACATACCCTGTGCCATTGTCGATGACGACGGCCGGCCTGGACGTCGGATCCATGAATAAGCGGCGATCGGATTCTCCGGATCCTCCCCCAATATCCATAACTGCGTCTGAATCACCCCTCTTCTCCTATTTCCATGTCCGTCACTTCTTCCTCGTCGTCCTCTCCATTTCCAGCAGCAACGACTCCCTCCCTCCCGTCACGTTGACCTCTGGCTGCACACGCCTTCTCCTTCAGCTTCCATTCCCCGACTAGCTGCTGCTTCTGTCCGGAGATGTCAGTCGATTCGGCAATTGGCAACGTAGCAGCGACGCACTTCAATTCTTGCACGACAGAGAGGCCGACGAGGTCGCTCGCTCGAAGCCGAGGTCGAGGTCTGCGAAAGCCGAGGACGAGCACGAGCATCAGCAGAAGAAGGGCGCGGACGCGGGAGACACAACGGCAAGGATACGTCCGGCAACGGGGGCACACCACCGGCCACCTCTTTCGTTTAGAGATCCGAAAATCCGTGCGTCCGTTTATCTATACCGGATAACGCACTTCCCATGGATGGAAAGCGATTCCGGACGTACTGCAGTCCCACCGCCCCACGGACGCCGGCGATCCCACTCACCTCATCTGTCACGATCAGGGTCCAATTTTAGTCAAATCTGTGTACAACACTGCGGTCAGCAGTCGGACTGTTGTACATAAGAGAATGGATGGATGGATGGATGGAGAGTCCAGAGGAATCGAGAAGCCGTTCCAGCTCGGTTTGCTTTTCAGCTCGTGTCCAGCTACGCGCATGTCCGATCAGGATCGACGTAATTTGGCATGCTGTAACTGCTCAGATCAGTTCGACACGAATCTTACTCCCTTTCCTCACTAGTTTCGTACCACCCCGTACTTTGCTCAGCGACTGCTGTTGAGTCCCTTCGACGGGGATGAAGTCGTACTACACCATCTCGGTCTAGAATCTAGATCACGTTACGCACAAGGGAATTCCCGATCGAGATGTAAAATTCTCCGTACATGGATTCGGATTGGATGCAATGAGACGGAGGCTTCCGAACCGCAAACAATGGAACCCCGAACGCTGCGAGGCTCTTCCTGACGTGACAATCAAGGCCAGCAAGGCGGAAGATATCCCGCCGTAATGGCTCAAGGGTCCGTGCGAGCGCTGCATCTGATGTGCAACAGGTTCCATACTGCTCGGTATACAACAGGAGGTTTGAACTTTGAAGAAGTTTAAACTTCGTCGAGTTAGTTCTCGAAGTTGAGATGAGGGATTGCTACTGTGATCTTTAGTGGGGCTGCACTGATCGCCATGTTGCACGATATTCTGAGATCCTCCAATAGATGACGAAAATTTTCCACACAATACAAAGTTCAAAAGATGAACCCAATCTCACATTAATTGATAATAAATGCCGAACTGGAGAACCTTCACCCAATGAATGCATGTGTGAATTTCTAGGATGGTCAGCTGCTTTCCACCAAGGTGATTTGATGCATACGGGCCCAGTTGGATGTCTAATCCAAAAGAGCAGCTGCAGTACCTAGCGCCTTAGATTTAGATACCTGGTTAAAACTCTCGACATTTGGGACCTTCGTCGAGTACCATTGATGCCAGACTACAAGTTCCTAATCTCCTGTGTTGCTCTATCATACGATCCATTTGATTCATTTGGGGCCTGTCCCTGTAGTGTAGGTTTGATGGGGTCTCCCCATTCTTTTTGCTATAAAACTCGCTCCTTTCTTTTTTGAGTTGGACCTCAGTTAGAAATGTGGGGTCTACGTGAGACAGCTTAATATACTTCGTGTTTCGATGAAGATTCACAGTACTGACGATGAGAGATTGAAAGTGAAAATAGTTCAATGGCACGCGAAGACATATTCATGCGTGAACACCTCGGCGGGTGCATCCGGGAGCTCGACCTACAACAGAAAAGCGTGCATGTTCCAAACCGGGAAACAAATTAGGCACTTGTAACGAGGAGTTCCAGACAATTAAGATGAAGCGGAATCGCATATAATTCGACGTGTGTCTATGAATGACAGCACAAGTTTTACATACGACCAGAAAGTTCAAACAATTATCCATCGACCATTTCAGTCGGTTCCAATTTGCTGCCCATAGAAGCTATCCTTGCAAGATCAAGTTTTAGGACATTGCACACGGATCTCAGATGAGGAAGCTCAGATTCCGAGATAAAACCTGCTACCCACTTTCATTACGTGAAATACGGGACGTGCTCGGAGGGGAAAAAAAGATTGCGCGGTGATATTGTCGACTGGTAAGTCTTTCTTTGTACTCACATGTTGAAAGAATAGAATGCTCAAGGCGAGCTTTTCAATTATAATCACTTCACCTACAAAGATGCTGAGTGTGCTGACCAATACAGATGAATTTCATACTGAAGCAGAAACAATCTCTTTCCTAGAGTTTAAAACCTACATATCTTTGGCATACCTGCTGATGCCTGTTATAAGCTGCCAATAGCCAAAGGTGTGTCTTCTCTAGAACTGCATGACTGATCTACGTGAACGGCACTGCTATGCCGAGATGCACGCTCACAAACGAGAGAAGCTCTGGTTAGAATATCATCGTCTGTAAACCCTCCGCCGGGTGAGCCCTTTCTCATCGGTCGCTGTGCTCCTTTGGTGTTTTCCAAATGAGCAAATCCTGCTTATCAATGGCCTCGCAATCTAGTACACTGACTCATCCTTCTATCTTCACAAAGTGCTAGACTGAGGCTTAAGAAGACCACTTACCCTGTATGACTTCTTCGAAAACGTGCGGCTTACAAGGAGTGCCAGGTCCGTGCAGCCAAGGCAAACTACTCATCGTCTTCCGGTATAGGGGGTAAAGGAGTTCGACCATGGTTTTGAACAAGCTCTGTCTCGTTCATTTTTGAGTTCAGTGGCTTGTATGAAAACCTTGAAGGGAATCGCAGAAAATTCTTCCATCTTTGTTGAATGTAGACCATTACAGCAAGGAGCAAGGCAAGAATCGGAATCAAGATGTTGCCCAGGCTTGTGTAGAAATCGAAATCAGGATTCGCATAGATCTCGTAACTGACACCGCGCAGGCCCGGTATGCGGAAGGAATCATAGATATGTGGCACTATCTGTAGAATAGTCAATCCAACGAAATAGATCGCTCGCAGAGGTTTTCCTTCCACGTCCCAAACGCTGAGAGCTATCGCTTGAGGAAGTAAGAAGAGATCCTCAACCAGCCCTGCATACTCTTGCAAAACCACCTTCCATACAGGTCGCAATTTGTCGACGTCGAAGAACGATGAGGATTGAAACTCTGCAGATGAGACATTGACCACTCCAGGAATATAACCCACTTGTGACTCCTCAGGTATGCTAGGAGGGGCAATAAGTAAATCGCCGGCACGAGGACCGATATTTTGAGAATGAAGAGTCATCACCGAGATGAACCCAAGGGCGTGAATGATAGCACAGGTCACTGCCACATTGTGCTCCCGCGGAGAACGAGCAGACGGCATGAAGGCTCGGCTCTTCCACACTACTTCAAATAAGCGGACCATGAAAAGGAAAGCAACCAAGGTCAAAATTTTGTCGAGATAGACAATCATCTGAGCCCACCCGGTCTCAACGAAAAAGCTATGCCTTCGGTAGTCAAATTTTCTTGTCAACAAGGCCTCCGCACCAGTGACTAGAGGTATTGCGTACCCCATACCCTGAATGCCGATCATGACCAGGGAGACGTAGGGAGTAGAGTCGACCTGATGACCGAGGTAAAGTAGCTGGCTAATAATGCACCCCAGCATGAGGCTGAGAGTCAGCACGCTCAAAGCCCCCTCCACACTCTTCTGAGAGACGAGCTGTTGTCGCTGCTTCTTGTACAGGATGCGTTCAGTCTGCACTTTGATGTCTTGGAAGTGGAAAGGGCTGTCCTCAACGCGCTTACTTTTCACCACCACTTCCACAGTCGGATCCGAGAGCCAAGCAGCAATGGTCGCTGGGTAAGTAATCATCACCTCAATCTCGCAATCCATACCTTCGTCCAAAGACCAGTAGTACTCACGGATGGTCTCCCATTGAGCGGTTACGCTCCTGCAACCCAGCATGTACATTTTACCGTGCTTCGGACTGTACAGACCTTCAGTGGAGATTTTCATCTCCGTCCGCTCAAACGGCTGCCTGATTGATAGTGTTCCAGCGATGTTCAGATACTGCCGATTCTCTTTGACCCGATTTGTGACCCGTGGATCCGTCTCCGTTTGGATGGTATCATTTGACATCCCGACCAATCCGGCCTCCACGATGCCTGTCTGGACCCAGCCTGACCACAAGAAAGGAAGATAATCGTCGATCGCCACAACGTCAAAATCGATGTACGAAAGGTCCTTACTGTCCAAGCTCATGGTGTGCAAGCTCAGGTCTTCCGACAGTACTCTGTAGTGTGCTAGCGATTCTCCAATAAGCTTGGGGTAATTCAACCAGCTTGAATGGAAGGATTTGGAAACCACTTCATCCTTCTCCAAAAGGACTCCAGCATCATCGACCCTCGTATAATTGTAGTGCAGATGAGAACTCAACCTCCATGGAAAACCTCGATTGAAGTCGAGTTTGACGTGAAAAGAAAGAGGATGGAACGCCTTTTCGGCTAGAGTGCTGTTGATGGTGCCCTCGAAGATATTTCGATGCTTGATAGTGAGTGAGAGAGGTATGCTGATACAAACTCTCATGTTGCAGAGGTCCGCCTGACCGGTGTTATCATTCAAGGAACATCCGACCATACAAAGGTGGTCGGATCCATTCACCCAGTAGCCTTCCGTCACGATGGTCTGACCATCCAAGGCCGACCGTCCAAACGCGACGCTCCTGGTCTCGTCGACAGGTATGAGACGGAAAACGGAACTCACAGAAATTACCGTCTCTTCCTCGGTGAAGCACGGGGATCGGAAGTTTTGTACCATAATTTGGGCCTTGCTTGCATTGTAATCTTGCGCCTTGACGTAATGCCCAGCCGTTGAGTACGGAGCGAAGGGCCCTATCTTTCCGCAAAACTCCTGAGAAACAGAGCAATTCCAATTGGTGTCTATATCCATCCATCCCTCCGAGAGGTATTCCTTGGCTAGCTCGCAAAACTCCATCCCGATCGGCTTGTAAGTGTCCACGTACTTGGCAGTTTGATCTTCGGAGTTGCAGGCCGAAGCTACGATGTCCTTCGCTGTACTCTCGTACACCGAGTCCGCTGTGATTTGAGATGACAAAAATACTGGGGGGAAGTAGAAAGGCTCCTCGGGACTCCTCAGGCTTTTCAGCTCTCCCCGAATGACACGAGAGGTGAGATTGAAGGTGAGCGGGTAGTGCAGCTGGAGCATGATGCTACAATCCTTCACCAGCTGCTTGGTTCCAGCAAAATTCTGCATATTGGACCACGAAATGCCAGAGTCTGGGGATGGCAGAAACGCGCAACCTAGCATACAGAGGACGTCCTCGTTCTGAGCCTGTTGGTAGACTCCCTCAAGCTCGATGGACAGAGTCGAGAACCCTGGATACATTATGAACTGGCTTTCGCTACTCGTCCCTTGAAAACTTGTCGCGGCTGTAGCTCGCGGCTGATCGAGGTCATAACGAGACAAAGGCGTCTCGTGTGTTGGTATAATTACAGGAGACGCCGACATAGACATAGACCCATCCGTGATCGAAAGCTCTACCATGCCAGCCACATTGCGCACGGGTAGCTGATTTCTATCGACATTGGTTACCCAAAACGAGGCGAGCTGAGTTCTGGGTACAGACTCCAAATCCGCGAACTGATTGGACGGCTTGAATGGCATCAATGTGGACACTCGGTCTCCCTGCTCCCAATCCCCGTTTCTAAATGATAATCTTTGCATCAGCGGTCGCCGCCGCCTGGTGCGCGTGGGAGCTTCCTCGCTTCTCAATGTCAAAGCCGGACATCTCGCCTTCACTTCAGCTTGACGAGTGTACTTCATTTTCTTCGGCGCCCCAAGGCTCACGTCTCCAACCCTACCGCCTGAGTTGCCCGCCCAAGCCATTTCACTCGAGGCATAACCATCTACTGCTTCGGCCCAAATACTACTCCCGTGGATGATACTCAGGGAAAAGAGCAAGGCATTCAACAAAATTGCTATCAACCTGGCCATGGTGCCTCCCCCCCGGTCTGCTTTCTCTACTTCTTCGAGCCCAAGTATCTCCACTGCCGCATCGCTAGCACATAAGTATCGCCCTTGCCGTCTTGTCAAGCTCCCGAAGCTGTTGTCGTGGCTGCTGATGTGATAACAAAAATCAAGGAACAATTTTGTAAAAAATCTCAGGGTTGGACCCGGTCTAAATCGAAACGATACTGCAATCAAATGTACGACGGGGCCTAAATGGTAGACAGCAATCCTGATTCGGAAACATGGATCCAAGACCGACGGACGCGAATAGCGGGGGCCTAGAACTCCGACCCCGCAAAAAAGCTCGCGATGGCGAGGAAGAATATCGGGTACAAATGGTCTCAACTGACACGCCGGGATGATAAGATGAAACTTTTGAACTGGTTTAGGTTGTGAACCAGTAACAGTCAATGTAGCTCATCTTACATCCGGCGACCCCGCCTGTGGAAATTAAGATTGTACTGACCTCGTGGAGTGCTCTGTCCGCAGGCACCGCGGAATCCGAACTCGGTCGATTGCTCCACCCAAATACTGCAAACGATAGATTTGTGCCGTGGGACAGGATTTCAGTCCATGCTGCTACGGTCTCCAAAACTCTTCCCCCCTATACAATGCAGGCACTTAGAAGCGTGAGAAGCGAGACAATCTTGCAAATGGGATGGCGAGAGATGCGTATGCTATAAAACATGCTAAAGCAAGTTGTCAACCTCTCCCAAGTGTACGGGAGTACAACCCCGCAAGGCGCGCAAAAGAATCCATCCAGTCCACGCGCAAGGCAACAAATCGATTGACACTGCACACCGCAATCCCCTCAGCAGTTTCTACCATCCACTCCACACTGCATTCCGTGCGTCAGTCGGCTAGCGACGATAAAGCTAGCGAAGCGAGGCAACGGGCAATGTCAGCGCAGCTCCAACATCAACAACAGCGATAGACGAAAAAAGGGCGATCCCGGGCCTGGACCTCGGGCCTGCGTCTGGTCTGCCTTCTACCTACCTAGCGAGCGCACTTGATCCAGCTCTCCTGCGCTAAACTCAAAACCACCACCACATCACATCTGCGCCAGCCCCGATGGAAGGTAAAAGGTATACGGCTGTTCTCTCTGCACTCCGTGCATGATTTGCGTCTGGCAATTGCGAAACTCGTCCTGGATTTCAGCCACATCCTGCGACGCAAGGCCGCGAGCTCAGAGATTCAGCATGACCATGCTCTCTGCTACGACGCGATGAGCACAGTGTACGGTCGTTCCGTCACCTCAGGCTCGCTCCTCTCCCTCCGACCGCTCGCCCGCCCGCCCCCCTCCGCATCCCTCTCCCCTCCCTGCCCTTTCTCGCCGTATTGTCACTCCATTACTCAATCAATCTACCCATGAAAGCTGCCTGGCACGCACGCACACGAGCGAGCGAGCGAGCGAAGGGAGAACTCCGGCCCGAACACCGTCTTCCTCTCGTCCTCCCCTTTCAGCACTCCCTCGTTCTCTCCGTGCAGCAATTGGCCTCCTTTCCCTCGACCGGAGGCAGTCACTGGACCCTGCTTCTCGTTGCGGCGGCCTACCGCTGACCCTCGTGCTCTTCCTCCCATTCCTTGGCGTTGCTTACAATGAATTAAGGTAGGAGCCAGTAATATAACGGAAACGAGAGAATGGGAAGAGAACATCGAGTCTTACTTTGATTGTACCGAGGTAGAACGAAATATCTAGGACCCAATAGCATTTATCAACAATTTGTCCTCATGTTTATGAAGAATAAACATCTGTTGACGAGATTGCACAACGAGTGATACATGTACTACACCGATGGATTCATGGTTTGAATAGTCTACACAATATACAAGAGTAATTGGTATCTCATCAAATGACATTTAGAAGTTTATATGCATAGTTATATTTGAGTCCCGAGCTATAGTAACCCAGAGTTAAAATCTCCTAAACTCTCTTGCATACATATAGAAGTTTACACCCATAGGTCTCCGAAGCTATACCAAGAGTTTACATCACTAAACTCCTTGCAAATGACACTCCACTAGCATGCCTAATAGTTCATCTCATTCGTTCATTCCTTGCCCTTTGACTCCCCCACCATTCTAATGATTCGTTCAAACAGTGGCTGAAAATCGCCAGAAAAAAATAAATTTACTCCACGCATTTCGGTGGCAATGATCCACTGACTCGGTTATTTTCGAGAAGTCCTAGAGCTACGGCCATTGTAGGAGAGGGGCATGAACAGGGGACAAAGCTCCCCTATTTGGCCTACGCCTCGTTCGCTTCTGCTGGTGAGGTGATTGATCACTTTAGAAACACATTTTCAGAGCCATTACATACTTCATGCTTTACTTTTTATATTAAAGTGCTCTATACAAGCTAAGCAAACCAGATGACAGAGTAAAATAACACAAAAAGGAGAGGATGAAACCAACCGGGTAACATCATGGGGCTAGGGCCCAAAGGCTAAGTTAGAGGTGAGAAATGCGAAATGCGAAACAGAGAAACAAAAGACGTCAAATTCTAAGCTGAAGAGGATGGCAAAGAGCCCATGGCATGGAGCCCCCATTTGGGGTGTGTAAGAGCTTTCGCATGGCGCACTTCTTTCTAAGTGCTGCCATGTCATAAACTTCGAGTAGACCTCCTCCCCTCGAAGTTCACTCCTCCTACCTTGTTGGAGATCCGACCTCTTCCTGATCTCACGGGTCGTCCTTCAGACCGGACGGGCTGTTCTTCGCTGCGACTTATTACCCGCTGGATTATCGGATCACCCTGCACCTTCCTGCAATGTCACATTCGGGACATGGCTCGGTCGCTACCCTCCAGGGCCTCCTCTACCTCTCACTGTTCGAGGTTACTGTGCCGTACTTACCACGTACTTACAAGAACCCTCATTTTTTGCCTAAAATACTTCCCTGATATTGTATTCATGAATAAACAATTCCAGACTGGATTTTCTTTCACTCACCTTTTCTTGAGTGTCCTATGTCTTCTCATCTTTTTTCTTTTCATGCTTTGCGCGAGGGAATAAGCTGAAAATGGGTTTTTTTCTCCACCGAGACAATTATTGTCCATCAATATGTTTCTTGTGGATATGTTGACCCAGGAGAGCGCTACTGGACTGTCTTTTACTAGAACGACAACTTCCTTTCCGTGGTCAGTGGATACTGTTTCTGACCAGGTCACCAGGAGGTACTGATTCCTGTTTAATAGGCCACCGAGTGTGCATCAGAGCGTCGTCGGCAAGAAGATTTGGCCTTCGTAAGAGAACGTTGTAGCGGTTAAAAGGTCTCGTGAGCGTTTTACAGTATCATAGGCAGCACTATTCAAGAATTTGAGAACTTTAAGAACACTTTATATACAAATTTGATAATTACTGTTTCGAATTTTTTTATACATGTTATATTGAGAACATCTTTGTATATTTACATCTTCATGTATTTTTCTTTTCTCGCCATCTTTCATTTGAGAAAATAATTAATCAGTTTCCCTGATTCTCTTAGAAGAAAATTCATTACAGGAAGGAGTATGAGAATCAACTCTGGGGATTCTAAATGCACATTTATGTTTCTCTTGAATAAATCGGACAATCCAGCAGTTGGATTGTCCGATTTATTCAAGAGGGGTCTTTTGTATACTTCTAAAGAACATATGAAAACTGGACCGAGCGTGATATTAACTCAAGAACCTCAACTTTAAAACTCCCAAAAGAAATTCAATAATTTATTAGTGTCATCTTTACAACTCATTGGTCGATGATGCATGTAAGTTATGTTACTCTTTTGTATATTAGATACATTTTTGACAAATATTTTTCAGATTATTTTTAAAATCATTATACGGAAAATTAAATATTATGATATTCAATAAAAAATGTATAATTTTTTATATGATGGAAGTGAATGACCCTTCTCTCCTCCTTAATTTGAAATTAGAGCAAGTTTCTAGAAAGCTTTGCCTAGTGTTCCTTTACTATAGGTATTACGTTTTAAAGGGATTTCATTCACGAATTTCGCTAAAGGTTTCAGTTCAGGTGCCAATCCGGGCCTTCGATTAGTTTTTAATCAGGTCCCATCCACAAAGCAAGATTCTATCATGGAAGTTATGCGAGTGTTACAGATTAATAGTTAGGCGTCTTGGAGTGGTATTTTTAGTGCGCCTAGGAAGTCTGGTTCAAAGATGCGAAGGTTGATCTTTTGCGAAAACAATCTAACGCATGATACATAGATGTACATAATTTTACAGATCGAACGCAATACAACGCAGAGGGTGTTCCGCAGGGTTCTATAATTTCCCCGCTTTGTGCCAATTTCTTCCTACATAAGTTGAGCGTAAATCGATTTTGATGTTTCCAATTTACTAATTTGGGTCAGATCGGATTCTGCATCTCCTCTGCACAATTTTATATTTTGACGATGTTCTAATGGTATGTGAGTACATAACTAAATAAATGAAGAACAATTTTGATTTTTTATGCAATATTTGTAGGATGATGTTCATAATAATAAGGTGGGATTTATAAGTTGCATATGTCTTTTTAAATTTTTTTGTTTATGTAACATATTCAATTAAATTTATTAGACAATGAAGGATGGATGATGAGACAGATTGCTTATTTGCACATAGCGTAGAGTACACTAACTGCGGTATTGCGGATGCTCAGGAAGCATATTTCGTGTGATGGCTTGAGCTTGTGAGTTCGTCGGGGCACTCGAATAACTAGAGCTTCAGCAACACACTTTCGGCAGAAAAACGCTCCATGCAAATGAAGTTTACTCTACAGTAGCCACCCTCTCCTCCCATGTGTCCATGACTCGTTTAAAAGATTGCTACCATTACTCCAAATGTCGGAAACCACTCATTGTCTACCCACATGAGAACACAACATGCGTAAAGATGATGTTATATTGTAAATTATGAGCCCTCGGAGTTCAGGTTGGGAAGGACATTTGGTCTGGGAAGGCATCGGTTTCTCTCACTGCTTAAAGAAGAAGTGGCTTCTTAAAGAACATTTTGTTCGAAATTCATTATTTTCTTTGTTTCTGCCTTATGATATGGCACATGCCGCAGATGAGGCGATGATGCTGGATGATATAGGCCGCGACCATACAAATATCTGCCAATCTAGATCTCATGCAACACACATGAGGAATAAGCCATTGTAACTGAAGGGAAACATACACAGCCGGTCGAAAAGGCCTGCAATAGTGAAAGATTTTTGACCTTGCGAGGATCTTTGTTTCAAGGTAGGAAGGTCGGGGAAAATGCATGAAATCTAGAACAGGAGAGAATCGAAAGCACGCAGAATCAACTGTCTGAACTTTCTCTGTGAAGAGGTTCACAAGCTTCGGACCTCGAGATGTCAGGAAACTTCTTACCGACAGTGGGTTGAATCGGAGGCCACATCCGATAACTCACAGATCTGTTTCGAAAAGATCTGCTCATTAGAACTGCTGTACTCAGTGTTGCACGCCTTTCTCCATACAGCCGACAACTACACCTGAAAAGAAGCAGGACGGAGAATTGTTTGGTACAGTGTACAGAAGCGCCAGGATTCTAGTGTCTTCCCTCGCAACGAATGGAGGCATCAATCTCCTAAAGTTCCTGTGGTGGGGACGCAGGAATCACTCCTTAAAGAGTGACAACTACTTTCGTCTTTTGCTTTTAGTCTTGCCTCACTCACTTAAAATTTTCGAGTGCGATTTGGTTCCTTTTGATCTCTCTCGGTACCTGCAAATCCTCTTTCCAAATACCCTGAAGCGTTTTCAATAGTTAATGATTTCCGCGGTAGGTAGCGCAGTGGAACGCCCGGTAGCCAGCATGTTAGATTACCAACGCAGAGGTCATGCTTTTTCCACTTCGTTTAATGGACTGATTTCTACTTCTGCTCCAGATCTAGGCACCAACACAGCTCCCTCTAAGCAAGAGCTGTAAGCTACTCCTACAACATATGAAGGACAAACCTTTGAGGTCGGGGTAACATCTTGTAATTCAACCACACTCGTCACAGAGACATGCTCCGTCAGTCAAAAGACGTAGGCGAATATTGCATCACATTATTTGCCAGCTGCAGCTTTCCAGAGTACTTTGACTTCTCCACTGATCCGCAAACGTTCGACTTCCAACAAATCTTTAGGTGCCAAGTAATAAACGGTGATGATCAAGATACCTGCATCTAGTGAATTACGATAATACTAGGCCGGTTTGAATCAAGACTCAAAAGTTGCTGCTTCAGGCATTAGCTTGGGCACATTTAAAAGAGTAATTAGCATAAAGCGTGAAGATAACCATCATTGAAATGTTACAAGTTATATTTTTTATTTTGAGAATTTTAATTAGTATTTATTGTGAAATTGATGGAAAAACTTTGATCATCAAAAGCTCATTGTCAACCTTTATGAATTATTGAAGATTTATTTTCAATTGTCTAAAAAATAAATATGATAAGAAAAAAATAATGGCTTTATGTTTAAAAAATTAAAAGAAGTATATTTAATTTTGTCACAAAAATTTAAAATTTTTTTCTTTTAATTTGCAAGAAATGCATGATTTTTTCCTACAAATAATACAAGTATTAATTATTTTATCATTTGAATTTAAATTTTTTAAACAAGAAGATGGGTATAGTATTCATTCCCATCTTCTTGATTAATTTTTGAACATTATGAAATTTGTGCGGTAGAAATGACTACGTCTCATCAAATGAAGATTTGACGGTTGTTTCATCAACGAACTTACTCATAATGGGGTTGATGATGTACAGTTTGTGGATGTCATGGTGCTTGTTTTTTATCATCTCAATGTCGTTGATGATGTACAGTTTGTGTACGTCATGGCGCTTGTTTTCGACCATCTCAATGTCGTTCTCGTTGCATCACTTTGCAAGATGAGCTGTGAATTGAGCACCTTACCGATGAACACACAGTTGCACAGATGAACAAAGTCTAATGAAATCACGGGTGATGAATCTTCATCGAGATCATGGTTATTATTGTCATGCTTTTTTTTTTACGTCCATGAGACCACAAACAAGCTTCATTGCATAGGTACCAATTTACTTCAAGACCTCGATCTTTCTATCTTCCGTTAGAAGGTCGTAGCACGAGCTTGCAAACTACCCTTGATCACAGATTTGATCAACAATCGCATCCGTTTAGATATACATATTGTCAAGAGATATAAGAAGTTGGACATTGTTGTTTGTCAAGCCACGCTCCGCGATATAGATGGCAAACATGCTAGTGAAAGGTGTGATCAAAGCTTGAATGTGTTGCTCCTGTGTGCTATCAGGAGAGACTTTACTTGCACAAGTGCGAACGTCACGTTGATCGCATCGATGATTGATGATACTATGTATGTGATCACCCACCACTCGTCTGTTAGCATGTGCAAATTGTGATGCTGCTCCTCTGTATATGCAATTATGGGTCTGTTGGCATGTGCAAATTGTGATGTTGCTCCTCTGTATATGCAATTATGGGTTCACGTAATCGTAACGTCAACCCAAATGAACCCATCAATTAGTTTTTTTTACACTTGATGTTCATATGATGATAAGATTGTTTTGGTCAAGCAAAAATACAATCAAGTAGTAGACGAACTATATCCATCTGCCTCTAATGATTACTTTCGAACATGATTTTGCAACGATGTCGATTTGATGAAGATCGCACCATATGCACAACATCTTGTTCTCAAGATATTGGACAATACTAGTTATCAGACCAAATTTTTGTCTCGTCATGATGTTTCCACCATCAGACGACGTGTCAATCAACTTATAACACCTCATCAGATACAACGCATCGATGAACTTGATGATCATAATGAAAAGTTTCCACATGGAATGGCGATTGAACATCGGAATGACATCAAGATGGATATCTAGCAAAGCGTTGTTGTGATAAATGCGCAAGCGCAAATCAAAGAATGATTGGTCTCGATGCGTGCTGCCATCCACTACAAGAGAATGCCAGAAAAAAAAACTAGTACCCGAACATGTAAGCAATTTGTTGTAGAGAAACGACGACGACGACACAAAAGTATTGCCCAACGATGATATCATTCACGTCCGTTAATTTGACCATTTTGGTAGTATACTTGGCGCGTTGGATGACTTACGCTACTTGAAAAAATGACATGCTTATTGATATGTGATCCATAGCCACACTGAATCTCATCAATTTCTAAATGACCACAGTGTGAAGATTTTTCATTGTGAACACTGTTCTATCACTTCACAAAGAGTTTCATGGCGTTTTTTTAGTCCGTCTCTTGCTTGAAAATATCCTTGCGAATAACATTCACAAGATTTGTGTTGTCGTCAACATCGTCATTTGCCATGATCTTGTCGTCAAGGAAGAGTAGATCATCGAATGATAGTCTCAACAATATTGGGATTGATCGTCAACATCAACGTATTGCTGTCCAGATCCATGTACCAATGAAGAGTGTTTGTGATCTTGACTTTGGTTTTGAAGAATTGTTTCTTATGTTTGCAAGATAGTGACCTATAGTGCACATATGACTCGCCATGTTGTGTAAAATGATGGCTTCGGTACTTGTGACATAAGAATGGTGTCGTCCAATACTTAATATGTGATTGTTCTTTGCGCTTGCGTGATGAATTTAGACCAATATCGACCTTATCTCGACCGTCAAAGACGCAGAAGTTACATCAGCATGATGTGTTGTTGCCCAGAGCGTCGTTTGCAACCACTTCAACGGCGTATTCAATGTCATGCGACGCCTAGAACGTTGCAGCGCCTTCTTGTTAATCATAGATTTGCATGAAATTTTTGACAATGAGAGTCAGAGTGATAATGCAACAAGAAGCCTAAGAAAGAAAAAGAGTCGATGAACAAGAACACTGTTGATTTTGCTGTGATCAATGGTATCCAAGGCGGACTTAGTTTGTACATCTAATGAACTTTGTTTTGTACAAATGTGAAACTATTTTTAGAAAATGTACAAACTTGTGAGGCTTGGTATGGTTACATGCATATGGTTTTAATGAAATTTTTTTATCTAAATAAATAAAGTATAGTACTAAAATACATGAGAATTATGTTTATTAAAAAATTTAATTATTGAATAATTTTTAATGTTTTATAAATTATAGTTAAATAAAATACTTTCAAAATCTATGATTTCAATAACTTTCAAACATATAAATCTTAAAAAAAATAAAAATTATATAGATGTTGTAATATTTATGAAATAAAATTCACTTACATTACACTCACATAAAAAATAAAAGAGTGAAATTTTATGTTTGTTATGATGATTGCAATGATTCAATTTAAACATCAAGATGCTCTCATGGTCAAATTAACACTAATTTAAAAATTTAATAATATGATCATGATAATGTTGACAAGTTAGCAAAATCAAATAGTAAAAGTCATAAAAATAGCATTATAAATCCATCTTCCGTAGTTATTTACATAACTAAAGAAATTTGGATTTCACTCAAGATGAGAAAAAACTTGCGGTTTGAAAATACAGAAATAGAACAACATCTTAGCTAAATCTAAATGTAAATATATTATTGAAAAATGTCAAGAAATTCTTGAAAAAAACTCAATGATAAACTTCTTGAATATTATTCAGTAAATCTATGTTTTTGTATGAAGTAATTTTCTACTTCAAAATGGTTTTGTATTGATATTGCAAATTTCATAATGATGTGAAAATTACATATTGTATATGTCATATTACTTTAATGTATAAATTCAACTACATACATTAAAGTACTAAATAAATTGATATTTGAACATCTCAAATATGTTTTTGAAACAAATCATTGTTATAGTGATTATGAATCTTTTGATAATTGAATTTTGTTGTTAGTTAGTTTGATGTAAAATGTATGTTTTACTTTTACACTGGATTAACATTATATAATTATACTATCTGGTGATCAATGTTTTATCCTGATTCATTATTTTATTTGTGAAAAATAATCACATTTGAAATTGCTGTATCATGGAACTTATAAATGACTTTCATGAGTAATTAGGAGAATCTTTCTAAAATATTTTGATATCATTGCCTTGGATACAAATATTTAAATTATTTTAAGCTATGTCCTATTCTTATACCTTGGCAAAAAAGTAGAAAATTATTGAAGCTTGTTTAACACACATTTTATCTTATTTTATTTTAACACACACGTTGAACATCAAATTGATTTTATCAACATGTTTGTAAATATTATCATGTATAATTATACAACTCTTTTGTCTAATGCTTAGCTGCTGAATTTTACGTACTGTTAGAAGTATAAATATGTGTGTGAAACAAATTGAAATCACAATTTCGGAACAAATCTCTTTACTATCGAACGTTTATTTTTCAATCAATCACAATGTTAAGTACCCATTCGAAAAAGAATACAAAATTTATAAGCGTTTTAGTTTATATGATTGTTGCTTCAATTTGATTAGTTGGTGTTTTGTTTTCAACAAATTACTCATCTACGCTTCACCTATTTACATTATTTGTTCTCTAGTTGTAGGGGACAAGAAGTAAATGTTTAAGATGGTTACCATGAACCCAACATTCAAATTAAGTTTTAGGTTTCTCTTTTCTTGGCATGCAGGAATATCGCGAGCAGCGCTGGTTTTGGAAAAAAGAAGAAGATGTCACAGGTTTTTTTATGACATCTTTTAATTAGTAATTAAGTAAGTATATGTAACTCATAGTATTCCTTTTTTATTTACAAGCCAAATGACAATATACATTGACATATCCCAACATAAACTTCTTGATTTTTCTTCATCATTATTTCTCTTTCAACTTTAAGAAAGTTTCATTTATCTTCTTCGAACCTCACCATAGGTTTCGGGAATATTCCAACCACTGCTTAGACTCTTCTTCACAACTCACATTTTGTGCCATTCAATTTTTTTGTTTAGTTTGTTTCTATATAATTATCTCAAAACATGTAGTAATTAATTCACACTTTTATATGTATGAACCCATGATCGCTATCAGTCTAGATGTAGTGGTAGATATATTTCAAATATTTAACCAGTCATATTTATACAAACATTACTAAACAATTCTAAACATTCCGAAACACTACTATTATGGGGAAAAGGATAAAATTCGAATTCTACATCATCAATACTCTTTTCCTCATCCTCAAAACTAGTTATCTAACAAAACCGCCGCATTCTTATCGTCTCATACCAACTATTTTAGCTAACAAATGTCTTGAAATATGCTTTAGTTTTTCTACTAGTACCACCTTGCAATCGCGAACAACAATTTCAGTAAATATAAGTCCCCCCACTAGATAGTGTCATTGAAATTTCATGGACATAAAAACATTGAATCATACCTTCTGAATTAAAGCAAAACATTGTTGTCTTCGTGTTCAAAACCTTGTCTTCATGTCAAACCTCGCACCATCTTTGTCATCTTCTCTCACAGATCAAATTATTCAAATTAGAATTTCTATCGAATGTCAAAGTCATTCATTTACTAGTAAAATATTATATTATTTCCAAAACTCTAAGGTGATGACAGTAAATCTCTCCATTTTCATATACTCTTAGATAACTTTAGTGTAGTACGTACATTTTCTGAGATAAACCTAGTCAAGTATTTAGAGCCAAAAAGTTACTCCAGAACAGTACTTATACTCGTCCAGTCGACGCAGTAAGCAAACAGTCAGGCGAAAATCGGAGCACATGTGAACTCCACCTTATTGCAATATAGAGCTCGATTGAACTTTTCACATTCACGAAAACATTTCTTCTGGACTGCTTTTGAAATGATGCGCTTTTAGATCGATAACGATGCTTCAGAAGCAGCAGGAGCGAAGATTCCTATTCATCGACCTTCAATGCAAAGAATGGGGCACACTTCTAGTACCAAACTTGGAAACGAGATGAGAGGTCCTGTTCATTTTGTGAAAAGCCACCTGGATGATGGCAGTCTACGCTAGTTATCTTCCACGCGAACACATCAGACAACTGTGTTTAAGAAGGTCCGTGCTGCATCCTTGAGTTTAATTAAGCACCCGAGTGAGATGTGCTGTTATGAGATATGTTATGATATTATGAGTCCGTTCCCGAGAAGAATTCCCGCCCGACTCAGAAAATTTCAGAAATAGACGAGAAAAACACCATCTTAAAACTGCTGTCAGAGACAAGAGGTTAGCTACTAGAAATAGAAACATAGTGGGACGACTGTAAAACCCCTAATTGTGAAATATGTTGATCAAGCCCTATCTGCGATCCCATTCCTAAATGCAACAAACATCTGCAGACGGATAAAATTCAGTCTGTGGCTGATGCATACGCTAGGAAAGCAAGACTTGTAAAGACAATCCTTGAGCTCATGATTTCTTTAAGTGTAAAATCCAATCGATCCTAAACTTTATGACTTTTAATGCCCCACGTCAAGCAGCAGCAAAATCAGTGACAAAACTTAAAACAGCAAAGGCACTCAATTATAGAAGAAAATAAACTGCGTTGAAAAAGTATAAGACTGGCTAGGATTGACAGTCCAAGCCGAATAATTCGTCTTTGATCTGGACCAATACAACTGTTATCGATTGTCTGGTTTCTTCTGTTCGTGGTGCCATGCACGGGGACAATCAAATCATAAATTTTTACACAACCCGTGCTTTTGCGACAAGAACTCTGTAGCTCCACAGGTCATAACAGCAACTAAACTGGCACAGTATAAAGATACACAACAAAGGATCGGTAGCTGATCTATTAAGGGTCATCAGCGAATGCAAAGACTACAAAATATGCTCGGTCTGCAACAATAGGACTGACATATACAACATTTCTGTATGTTTCTTTTTACATCGGTTTGGCATTTAGTCCTGGTATGAAGATCACCGGAGGGACGCCTTTGGATGCTCCGCGACCGACACCCTCACACCATCAAGATGCATCTCCTCGATAGAGAGAGAGAGAAGAGAAGACATGCCTTAAACGCCGGATTTGATAATCTTGAGTTGTCCGAGTGAACGATTTCCATCACCACACATCACCGAATTTGGAACCACCGGCAAGGAGGCAGATTAGAGCAGCAATTGCGCAAGCAAGGAGGCCGGTGTGTTCTCTGGGATCGGATTTTAAGCAGAAAAATATAGCGGTGCCGATATACCAAGGAATTACGCAGAAAAACCCGAAGATGAATAAGAACCATCCGAATCCCAGTCCGCAAAACGGAAGAGGATCGGAACTGTGAAAGTGCTCTCCGCTGAGAAGCGGCTTACCCTCGACAATCCTCCCGTGGATCCCTCGCGCCTGATCATACATATAACTGCTGTCACCTTGAGCATAGTGCGGTGCCTGGCTGGGAGGAACTGGCTGTGGGAATCCTGGCTGGTCATGAAACGTCCCGTAATAAGCAGGCGACTGATCCACCGCGGGATAGTGCACCTGCTGCTGATCGGGATGGTGTGCCCGCTGATCCTGCTGCGTCCACGGCAAACTCTGATGCTGACCCTGCTCTACATCAGGCTTCGAGCTCCCCATCGTTTTCGTCTATTCTCTCCTTTCTTCCTCTCGCTATCACCTCGCCCCGCCTCGCCTCTCTTCTCTCAAAAGCTGTGGGCAGATCTGTCTTCTCCCGCCTCCTCGTCGCAATCAAGCTCGGCCTCCGATTTCTTCCTTCGATGCCAGTGACAACTCGTGTCTTCGACGGCCTTCTCCTCCTCCTACTCTGCCTCCCCCAGCGAGACTTCCCCAGACCCCAGGAAGCGTATGTAAGTTCGTCAGCCCTTCTGGACTCTGGTTCCTTGCTGCGCAATTCTCTCGTATTCTGCGCTTCTTCACTCGTCGGCCCTGCACCCACGCGGCAGATCGCAATGGGTCGATCTCCTCCACGTCATCTTGCCTAATCACAGCTCCAGAGAGCTGTGTTGTCGTCTGTCTGTACCGCGGCTTTCCTATTGTTCAGGAAACTTTGATCTCTAAGAACGCGTTGGACCTTTGGCGATGGTTCACTTACAGGGCGAGAACTATTTTAATATCATATTCCAGGGTCCATTTTGGCGATCTCGTCCGAGTGCATTGACTCTATGGACAAACTTCGCCCCCAATGTAATACCTCATGTTTACTTGCTACAATCAAAATGAAATGATAATAAGTTGATAGCAAACACTATGGAAATGTACAATCGAGACCTCCAAGTAACAAATAGAACTATCCATAGCGGCTAGCCTCTACAATATCATCATATGAAATATATCGTTCTACACATTCAATATTTGAAATATTGTTTCTCACTATCTACAAATTCAGTACATGATGCGATGTCATAAACTGATACATCGTGCACATAGTCTTTTGGTTTTGTTGTTGCTTACGGTGTTATTTAAATAAAATAAAGTACACCTTGAATCAAAAGTAACATATCAATATATTTCATGTAATATAATATTGAAGAAATATATTTGCACATTTTAAAAATTGCACTAAAAATTACAAACATAGTTGCATGAAAAATTTATGTTAGAAAAAAATATATGACATCTTTACAACATCTATATATAGAGACCTTCACTACTTATCACATTAATTGTTCATTCAAGAAAATTTATAATCATCCCTACATGTTTTACTCTCATGTGTAAAATTCTTAAAACATCATGTTCAACTACATATTTTACTCTCATGTGTAAAATTCTTAAAAAATCATGTTCAACAATCGTAAATTAACATACTTAATAATAACAATGAGGAAATATACTTCACAAATCAGGTATTTTAATCTTAAAAAACAATTATTGTTCTTGTCAAAATTTTTGTGTGTGTTTAAATGTCAATTTGTGCTTGCATATTCTTGTGAAAAATCTTGTTGAAATTCCGTAATAGAGAGGTTGATAACATCGTATGTATGTAGGTCTTGGCAAACTATGTTAAATGGGTAATAAAATGTTATCTACCTTTATTTTTGCCCTACCCTTACCACATTGGTCATGCTTTACTTATACCTTTACTTTAGTTGTTAACCATGTACTTATCCAATAAAAATAAAAATACATTTTACCTTTACTTTGTTTGTTAATTGAGTAATTACTTAATATACATAAAAAATACACTTTACCTTTACTTTACTCATTAACCAAATAATTGTTCAATAAGAATAAAAAATACACTTAACTTTAATTTACGAGTTAACTTGGTAACTACACAAATAAAAAATAAAATATTTATTTGAAAAACTTTCAATTCAAGTTAGATTCAAAGACAATGTATTCGAATTGATTGTTGAACATCTACACAACGTCGTCATCACAGAGTTCATCATATCAGTTGTCTTGTTCAATCTCCAATTGATTGACTACATCTTCAATCTCATTGATGGGGTTCTCTTTATCAGTAGATCCAATTGTTGCAGCTACTATTGCTCGGTTTGCCGGCACTTTGAGTATCTTTGCATACATCCATAAATGTAAACACATGGTCATGATGAACACCGATGACAATAGAAATTGTCGAGAGCGGGTAAACTCGCGATCAACAATGCCGTTGACGCACTTTGATGGTGTCAACATCCCAAGATAATCCATGACCATCTTATAGTGTGCAAGCAAGATTTTTGTGCGGACTGATCACCATGACAAGATGTCAATAAAATCCTTACTAGACGACGTCGATGTAGAAGAATTGGTCTGCCTCATCGAGCATGCTATTATCATTCTCTGGCTAGAACATGGCCTAAAAAAACAAATTGGTCAACTCTTTAGACTCAATAGTCGAATTGCGAGACTTCAATTCGACTAAATAGCGGAACGAAAGTGAATCAAATGAGATCTATCAATTTTTATAGTTGCACATGATCAAATGATTTTATTATTTGTTCATTGAAGTAAGCTACAACTATGGCGGATTCTAGCACTAGCAATTTTTCATACACTTCAATCACCGCATTTTAATCATCGTAATTTTGGAATTGATCTCTAATAGCTGTAACTCACTCGTTTTGCAATGCTTCACAAGATGAGCATTGTATAGCAACAACATGTCAAGCAACAAGTCAGCTTGTGACCTGTTGCCGTTACCCAACGAGAGCAAGCTTTTGGCATCCATGAAAACTCCCTCAACTACTAATATTCATATTTTTTTGTTAACACATGAACTAGACTTGAAACAAAAACAAAAACTCTCTCTACTTTTTCACTCTACATTCAATAAAAACATTAAAAAATGCTTTCAAAAATATTTTTTCAATATCAAAGATCACTTTTCTCTCAAAGTGATGTGTTTACGTGAACAAAACATACAAAATCACTTCTAGACTATCATACGAGACTTCTAGATATATTAAAAAAATTTTATTCTCAAACATACTCTTCGTTCTTTTGTTTCCTAACGTTAACTTCAAGTGATCTCTCATGTACATTTTCTCTCGAGCTAGGAACCTAATTCTAAACATTTCGTCTTCTAGATTGAGGTCCTTGAAACGGAACCAAAAATGCTACCTCCGGGCTAACTCTCATTCAAATTTACCTCAGATGGCTTTGCGGTAGCTCATCATGATTACTCCTTATACTCATTATCCAAATACCCTCTCACACAATCGCTCAATGTATCACTCGAATTTACACACACATCGACACTTCAAGATTCTGAAAATTATCACTCTTTCATGTATGAAACAAATTTCTACACTTGAACTCTTCAAAATTGCTTGCAAGGCTCTTCCCTACCTCTCTTCATATAACACTTGAGAATTTTACCATAATAATAAATGGTAATTCTTATCTAACTTATTTTACAAAGATAAATCATTGTAAGTTTGACTAGTTTTCAATACGTGACAACATGCCATTAGATTACTAAACTTTCTAATAAACACTCATCCTTAGATTGAGGTGACGACATACCATTTATGTCTTTACAACTTATAGAACCTCCATTTGTCACCAAATCAACATTAGACTTAATCTAACCAATGAAAGTTCCAATACTTAGTCAAACCAATCAAAACTAAACATGAAATCAAAAGTATTTTATCTTGGAATCTAAACTTTTGTACAAAACAAAATAAAAGTGCTCACTCAAATTTTCTAGAACTTCCCTAGTTATTCCGTCAAGTATAGACATTATAGCTAAACATAATTATAACTTGATAAATTTAGTTATAACTCGCTAGACTTAGTCGTAACTAGATGAACTTAAACATAACTAAGCTAACCATGATTAACTCCTTGGCTACTTCTACTTCTAATTCTATTTCACAAATACAACATCTGGTCTTACAACTCAATGATGTAGTGAAAGATGCAAAGTAGAAACAAAGAGAGTTTGGTTTGACAAGAAAGACTATTGCAATAGACATAGATGACTGACTTGTCAAGTGTTGTGTTCATGGGATGCAGAACATGGCAAATTGAATGAGATTTGAATACTTTGTACACTTAAAAACATATAATAATAATGTAAGCTTGTATTTGCAGTTTCTCGTCTTACTTTCTCATTCTATTTGAAGTGATCCCTCGCATTTGGCTGTTGGGCACAACAAGATATTAATCAAACCGAACAACTCATGACATATCAAGATCGTGTTCCAAGTTTGAAACGGAAGAAAAGAAAATTGCTCAAGATATGGTAGTGGGTTACTCAAGAAGTGCTTGTGTGTATGCTAAAATCTCAAGGTATTACTAGTTCATGGCAACTGAAAATTACAATGCGTCAAGAAAATGAAAGACTCTCGCTTATGTACTTCGTGTCTTTTCGAATCTCGGCTTATTTGACGTTGTGTGTATAAGCCTACAAGTGTTTGAGGTTCAAAAGACTGAATTATCAGAGAGATGATTTCAAGCATGTCAAACATTCACCAAAATGATTGTCTTTCCGGATGAGTGATTGGAGCTATTCAATGCACTAAACTCTTGATGTACTGAAGTAACCCTGAATGCAATGTGAATTCAATTCCACCGCGCTCTCCAAGATCCAACTGCTGTAATGTAGGCCAGTGACAAACGGGGTCACCAAAATGACTCACTTCCTCGCAAAAATGACTTCTTGACACAATCAATTGTCGGCTTGGAAAACATGAGGAGGCATTATGGTGGGAACAATCAATGCAGAGATCGGAAAGTCTGAGATGACATCAGTTGGATATTAATCTAATTAACAGAAAGTTAACAAACGGCGCACAAGAAGGCAATTAACAAAGCCGTCCACTCCACCGAATTCACGACAAATTAACAATGGCACGCAAAAACGCAATTAACCAAGCTGCCAACTTAACGGATAAGGGGTAGATAAATCGACATTAACTTTATTTTATCCTCTATCTTATTCATTGGTTACCTTCACAAGGAGCCGTCAACTTAACAAGTAATAATTCGGGTAAGGGGTAAGTAAACCAACATTACATATCCTCTGTCTTACTCATTGGTTATCTTTCTACCTTTATCACTAACTTTACCATTTATCCTTGAGTAAAATATATCTTACCTTACCTTGTCGAGGTCTAGTTGTATGTGGATCCGCTTGGAAAAACAATAACAAGAAAAATAGAAAAAAAACACATACCTTCACAAAATATTTTGTGTTTAAACCGCGAAAGCCGAGACTTACTACACCATCCTAGTTACCATGAAGCACTCTAAGACATGCCTGCTAAATTTTAGGATTTGTCTTCAGAATTCCAGAATTAAGCAAAATAAAATCCGGCAAAGTACATAAATAAAGAATGCTGTTATGATCATAAATGAGATTGTCTTTTCGTAATACTTGTGGAATCAAAGACAAATTTGTCTTTGCCGCCAATAAGAACAGGCCATGTACTTAAAAATCATTACAAGTTCAATTTATGTGTTTATACTCTAATTTCTTGAATTCAAATTCAACCCTTTTAGTTTGCTTCACCATAACTTGTAAATGCAAGTTCAATTTAATGGGAGTATTTTCAGAGTTTAAAAAATCCGTATGTCCAAGGCAATAATGTCTAGTTTTTAAAAATCTTGAC